ATTCTTCCATTTCCATGCGACTTTTTCTTGTTTAATACTGACAAAAGGACACGTACGAAAACCATTTAGAACCGATTTTTCGGACCATTCTAGTTCACGTGTTGTTGCGTTACGATTTGAATGATTATGTGTATTTGATGTTGAAACAATGTACTCGTTCTCATCTTTCATTAAACAACGGGTTTGAAAATCACATTGAGGAAACTTTCGGCACTCTGAGCATCGATACGTAATTTTTTGACCTCCGTTTGTTTGTTCTGTACGTTTAATAGATACATTTTGATCATTTATATACGAATGGAAATCAGATCTGTTTAAAAATCTGTCTGCAAAGATCCACTGTCGCCTCGCCATAGTATAGATGTTTATGTTGTTTTTTTTCAGTTTTGAGCAGAGTATTATGAAGTATAATATAACTCACCATGTGCAGTAGTTTACTACTGAATTTTACTTCAATCGAATTGTAAGCAAAAGTTCCTTATATAACATGGACATTTGTACGATTGAATCTACTTATTATCATCTTACATTGTTATCATTTTCACAAGACAATCGTGATAAAACCGGGCACAAAACAGTGATTGTCTTCTCTTTCTATTTAAAAAATGAACCGGGCACAAATCGGTGAAAAACCAGGCACATTTCTTTTTCCGGGCACAAAAATGTGAAAACTTTCATTTGTACCCGGATCGGGCACTAATCAGTAGCATCGGGCACAAATAAATGAGAAAGTCGGGTACAAAAAAATTCTCACCCAGAAGATTGCACGATGTAATCGAAACGTCTAACTGTTGGTTGTAAATAATAAATTTTACGAAGACAAAGTATATATTTTATGAGAAAACTAAAAAAATAAGTTATCCGACTTCGTATATTAACAAAGACCATACTATGGTCTTGTAGAATGATTCTACGTAAACCTCTAGTATAGAAATATCCAGACCTCAATCCGTATATGATGGTGACGTGAGTTATTAAAACTTGTTCTACAATATTGCTCAAATTTAGTTATAGAATTAAATTTTTTTAATGACCAAAGAACAAGTGTAAACATCGTATTTTCGCTTAAAACTTTGTAGCACAAAAGGTAAAAAGTCGTTGGAAATTTGTCGAGATAAGTGAAAGCTAAGACGAAAATGTTTTTTTAAACAAATACCAATGAAACTCACCATTTACAATAAAAATATGGTGTATATTACATATTGGGCTTTTTCTCTATTTCTAATGATAGCCAAACACTGATCTGTATGTTAATGAGAAATAGCAACGACACGTGTCATTATTTACTCACCTGTACGGAATGAATAGTTTTGACAGAGAAACTACATGAAGACATAAAGAATCGACGGGACTTTGTATTTTTGTTTGGAAATTAGCTCATTCATCAAGTTTTCTTAACGAGAGAAAATTTTTTACTTTGTGCATCCTTCACGCGTCAGAAATTTCTTTCGTACCCATGTTTTCCTAATGGATATAAAGAATGACTTTCAACTCATTTTGAGTGTTGAAATAAATGGCTCACTTAGTATTTCTTCTGTGTATGCAGACTTAGTTTTTGTTTTCAAATGATTCTGTAACATCCTAGAGAATTTTGTTCAATGGTGAGAAAAAATGCGACTTTAGAGATGTCTAGCAAGGGAAAGTGTGTTCAAATCGACTCATTTATGTGACTAAATGGACTTTTAGAACTTTTCTCATTAAACTTCGTTTCGCTTGTTTCAGTTGTATTTGAAATCGCTAGTGATAAATTCGTATAACTTGTCTCTGTTGCTAGTTCTGGCGTTGATTGCAGAACAAATGTATTTATTCTCATTTCTGATGTTTTACGAAATTAACACACTTATCAATAGTTGTTGAGTATTTATTTAAATATTTACCTGAGGGTCAGGTCAAGACAAGATCAACTTGCACATCTCTAGTCCGATCTTAACAAGAACGTCGAGGAGGTTTTCTAGAAACTCTACTTCTAGTGGTTTTAAAAACAATCTAAGTGCGCCAGAAGAAAGAGCTTAGTCCAAAACCATTAAGTGTTAGACATCATTAAATTTGAATCGAATGGCGAGTAGTTAGTCTAGACGAACTTTCTCATGTAACACGCCTATTCCCTCTGCAACAACCGGATTCATTTGTAACATTTTTATTTCTATTGTAGAATTTGAAACTTTGACATTTCACATATAGATTATCTACACACATTGTCGACATACTTCTGAAATAGATACATCAACAATTTCCTCTCTTTGTCTATCTAAAGTGAAATTCTTCTACACATAAACAGTAATTCAATAGTTCTCAGCAGAGGTACATAAAATCCGTAAGATTTCGCCATACGAAATCGAATAGGCCCAGTCAGTCATAGTCATTGCAGAAAAGCGCAGGAAACTCTGTTTACGAAAGATTTTACGCTTTTAGCTAGTTTCGAATAATAACGCGCAACAAGCTGCAAGTGCGTAAAAATAAACCGCAGGAACACGTGTGTAAAGCCATTGTTTCCATGGCAACGTGCGTTTCTTGCGGTTTCTTTTTACACACTTGCAGCTTGTTGCGCGTTATTATTCGGAACTCGCTAAACGTGTAAAATTTTTCTTAAAGAGAGTTTCCTGCGCTTTTCTGAAATGACTATGACTGATGGAGCGTCGACGATTGAATTTTACCTTAATTAGACAAAAGAACACGTGTGAGTATCCGAGCTTTTTCAACTAGTCTGCCTTGTCTAGACTTTGGCAATTGTGAGCTAGCTGTGCGAAAGCTTTTCGTAGATCACTCCGCTATCCTTAAGATCCCAAGTGAAAAATCTTGACTGCAGACCTTGATAAAAACTTGAAAGATTTCTTAAGTTTCTGTTCAGTTCTTTCAAGATCTTATGCAGATTTATCGATATCTGACAAGATTCTGAGATCATTTTGAAGTTCAAGATTGTCGACAAGTTTTGGTGCAGAATCTGTCTTGAAAAAACTTGATCAGGATATTTAACTGATTGTAACAGAGCAACTAATTCGTTATTAATTAATTAGCAGAATCTTGACAGATTTTCGATATCTGTGTAAATCTTGAATAGCTTTTAGGTTGGTTAGGTATTATTTTCATTTATTTTTATCTACTGTATTCTATACTGTCTAAAAAAAATAGGCTTATTACGAAACCTAAAAGGGTATAGAGAAATGCAACTATTTCGAAACCGTTTTAGGTTTTGTATGAATTCCTTTTAGGTTTCGTAATAAATCTGTTTGTTTTAGAGAGTAGGATACTTTGCAGTACTGTACTGTACCAACAGTACGTATTCCCTCTGCAACAACCGGATTCATTTGTAACATTTTTATTTCTATTGTAGAATTTGAAACTTTGTCATTTCACATATAGATTATCTACACACATTGTCGACATACTTCTGAAATAGATACATCAACAATTTCCTCTCTTTGTCTATCTAAAAATGAAATTCTTCTACATATATATATGATCTCACCTCCACTTACTGTCGACAGTTTACTGTTTGTTTTCTAACACATCGCAGGAACGTATTAATGGGTTTTTTAGGAGATGCCTTAGAATGATTTTCTGTGTTTTTCGTTGTTCGACCGTAGACCTTCATGAAGTTTTCGTTCTACCCAAACTCGAAGAGAAGCTAAAAAAGTGTTTGTCTATCAGACTGGAAGGTATAATCTAGAAAAGAATGTTAAGAAAGACGATCTTGTATTTCAGCTTTTATATGTTGAGGTCGGGGACAGTCTTCTAATGTGTTCACTCCTTTACTGCTTTTATTTCCATTTTCATTTTACGACATCGAATAAAAACTGATTCCAATAAAATTTTAGAAAGTGATTATTAATGTTCCCCGGAAGCAAAACGTATTATATGACGGTTTTGATATTAGTCGCTAAATAATTCGTTCTGAAAGAAGATTTTTAAAAGTCAACGAAAAAACGGCATCATATTATAATGATTACTTATTTATCTCAGATGTGTGTTATTATTCGCTGTATAATATTATTATTTATTGGTCTGCTACTTGGTTACAATTTTAAACATATTCATCGTAAATTTTATTGGATATCTTATAGTGGAATAAAACGGCCTGCTATTGACTATGCTCATTTAAAACAACAAAGTTTACCAAAACAATCATTCGTTTCAAATGAACTACATTTAAAATATTTAAATGAATATTCAACAACTATTGATGGTTGGGTTAATCATGAAATTTTGTATGTTCTGTGGTTGTTAACACAATTCCAATATGGTCGACTCAAATTAGATAGGGGTGCTATTGGTGAAATTGGTGTACATCATGGAAAGTTTACATGTTATTTGTATATATTGAGACGGGAAAAACAGAAATTATTTGCTGTTGATGTATTTGAAAAGCAACATTTAAATACAGATAAATCTGGTTTGGGTAGCAAAAAAATATTTCTAATGAATGCTGAAAAATATGCAAATGTTACTTTCGATCAAATAGAAATCTATTCTGGTAGTTCATTAGATCTCAATTCGATATTTTCAACACCAAATTCAAATACTGTTCAATGGTGGATGAAATCGGTTGTTGGTGAAAACGGTCTACAGTTAGTTTCAATTGATGGTGGTCATACACCATTACTAGCATATTCTGACCTTTGTCTCGTAGCTAATTCACTTATCGATGGTGGTGTTGTCATTGTTGATGATATTGCACATCCTGGATGGTTGGGTGTGCGAGACGGTGTCAGTCGATATCTTAGTGAAACATCAAAATTTATAACTAATCAACAATTAATAAATGAAATGACTCTATACTGTGATAAACCAAATTTCAATCGTTCAAAACATATTATAGAAGAGACGACGCCACCAGTTGATCATAAATCGCATTGTCTAAGAATAGTTCCATTTTTACAATTTTACAATAAATTATTCTTAACTACACCCAACTATTATCCATACTATATTAAATTACTCTCTGAGCGAAAATACCATTTAAATGGAAAACGAACCAAATATATAAAATATCATTCATTACGATTAACTGTTGGAAATGTTCCGGTATGGGCTGATAATTATAAATTAAATCAGACGGAAAAAAATAAACTGTTTAAACAACTGATAGAGCCACAATGGTATAAAGAAATTATTGAAAATTGAAATGTACTGTATAGCAACAAAATAATAAAATCTGTATTCCGATAATGGCACAGTTTCACCTCATGCTCGACCTGTTTAAGAGTAGTCATACACAGATTGTCGAACTTGTTCAACAATTATACCATCTAGTTTCGCAGATGTTTTAATTCTTTAAAACAGGATTCTATGCTAGCTTCAAAATACGACTGTTGTTTTGAATAAAGATTTGATGATGCTCACCCAGATTTAAATCCATTTGACGGCTATGTATGGCGGCCAAAGGATATGAATGTAGCTCATGGGGAAACACATCTATGTAGACAGAGTAGGGCATCCTACTATACCTAGTTTGTATACTCGGCACCTAGATACTTGCACATTCACTTGCACATTCAGCAAGATCACCAGTGTTGGTCAATAAAATTTTTTCATTGAAAGTTAATTCTTTATCATCAGTATCCATGCGATATTCGTTATCTGACGAGTCGCTTGCATCCGAAATCTTTGTATTTGATCAGCGACGACTGCACTCTGCAATTGACTTTTCCTTTCATTTGCTTTAGGCATACCAAACTAACTTAGTTCAATTGCAAATGAAATTATCTAAAGAAACACACATGCTATCAGAACTTTCGCTTATACTATGATTTTTCAAGAAAAGGTTTTCCAGGGACCCTCTGCAGACCTCATACGGATCTCGAAACTATGTCCATTGGATTCGTCATCAGTTTTTACCTATGTGAACAAATACTTGATTTGGATAAAAAACAAACATTCTATGTAAAAATGACCTGCCCCTTTTTCGTATCATACAGTAAAAACGATTTTTCTCAACATAGGAAAGAAAAGGAAAAAAAAGATACGTAGTTTGATGACGGGTGGTATAATGAATGGAATGAGATAAAATAATTGACTCCATCGGTTACATAGAGAAAGTAGATAGGTTTACAAAATCGACCTATACGCATCATAGTCGACACAATTCGAAGCGTCACCACCAATAGAGTTTTGGGTCTAGAGTCGATTTACCAGGTTATCTATACTCAGCTTTTGATGCTGAATCTGAAAAAATTATTCTCAGAAGTTGAAAAAAAAGAACGAGCTAGAAAATGTTGCACATTTTTGAAAAGCATGTGTTTTTGAAGAAAACGACACATTTGGAGTATATTGTATTTTTCGACCAGAAAGGAAACGGTCACTCAGGCTAAAAAGTAGATTTTCGTGATCAGCAGCTCAAGCTCTATCAAATGATGTAAAAAAAGACGAAAAAAAAATTTTACTCGAAGTTTGAATTGCCCGCACCTTACTCGACATAGACTGTTACACAAACAAGCTTTTACCTTTGGCCAAGCACTTTTGAAATAGACGAAATCCTGTGGTATTTTTGCAGGAAAAACACTCCTCTCTAAAAGTGCAACAGCTAACTTACTTGAGTGAATATGCACTTTAAAATGATTTTGGTATGTGTCTCTTTCTAAATAATCAGCAATTACAAAATGCATAAATTCGTATATATAACTGACGTATATTTAGATGACAATAAAGCGGACTAATATAAAGAACTATCGTATATATATATATATATATATATATATATGCGAGTATAGGCATCTAATGCGGTGGATACTCGTTTGGTGAAACTGAAAGCCGTTTTACGTGGATAACTCGACAAACCAACTGTACCATCTCTTTTCCCTCGCAGATTTAGAATCAGTCCTAGATACCATGATCTGATTAGGACTCTAGAGAAAAATCAAAGGGGTCACTAATCGAAGGATAGGAACTAAACGTATTCTGAACAAATATACATTAGGAAAAAACGAAATAGTCATGTAAGTTCAAAGCAAAGTGTAAAAGAAATATTCTTTAGCGCAAAATTTGTCTTCTCTCGTGCGCTCACCAACAGATCATTGTTATTTAGATAAAATTTAGTATTGTAATTACTTTCGTTGTCACTGAAATCGAAAATATTTCAAAGTATCTTATTTTATTTCTTGAGTTATATTCATGTCTAATCACATCAATATAGTTCACACCAAAATACATATATTGAGAATAAGTAAACATAACTGAAAGTGCTATAGGAACTGTTAATACCATTATTTTTAATATTAATGTTCGAAATAGGGTATAACGATTATATCCGTGCTTTTCATTGATATCATCTGCGCAACAGTATTTTCTTGCAATAAAAATAGCTCCACCTATTATGACAAGATACAACCATCCAATGTAAAAAAGCTAGCATCCAAAGAAAGCTACCATCCAAATGTAAACAATCATCATCGGTATAACATTAGTAATAAAATAGGGAATAGAGATGAGAAGAATAATGCCTGTTGCATAACCGATTGGGTAAAATACTCAACGGAATAATTTTTGATACCATTTCTTTAGTCTAGTCTCACCATACACAAAATCTGCATATTGTTTAGCGGATGAGAAGTATTGCGAACTTCTCGGATTTCACGAAAAAACCGCATAATGTAATATGAACCTAAACAGTTTTCTGGATACACACACACACAGACCGACAACTATTTTGTAAGATCCACGTAGTGTCAACAAGTACAAGGCAGTGTGGAGACATATCCCGATCGGGATGTACTCCTAGTCGGGATATATATCCCGATTGGGATATCATTTTTTGCAACAAAATTTTTTTTATATCCCGAACGGGATATAGTTCGATATCCCGATTGGGATATCAAGAAAATCTATAACCCAATCAGGATATCAAGAATTTTAATTTTTAATTTGTTAGAAAATGATAAATTTTAATTATATGCGAGCTGAATATCCTTCTCCTTCTTCTTTATTCCCCCTCTCTAATGTTCCTAGTAGTGTCTTTTGTTTTCTCCAGCTTCCACATTAACATGTTTCTCATCAAATCTAATAAGTTTAAAAGGAGTGTTACCGTGCCAGGCAATATGAGTATAAATGCCGCAACGTTTGGAATGATGATGTTCTCTTGGCATTCTCAGAAATGCTGGCTTCACGACTGATATACGTTTTAAAAGATAGAGCAAGTTGTGATTCACTTATAAAGAACACAAGGCAATTTATCTGCAAGAACGGATAGTTAGAAAATTCCCCGTTAAACACAAAGTACGTGTATAAAAGAATTGTGTTTCAATATATGTGGGCATCGAAAAGGAAGAAATAAAAAAACACGGTCGACGTGGAAAGCGATTAGATCAAGAGTATATCCC